AGAGAGAGAGAGAGAGATAAGCCTCCCTTCCCTGCGTTTTGGTTGTCAGTGAGGTGTGATAGTAATAGAAGTGGAAACCAAGAGAGTGTGTGTGTGTGTGGGAGAGAAGAAAGCAAAAGCAAAAGAAAGGAAGCAATGGGTGTACGGGAATTGCAATCCAAAGTAGAAGTGTGCATTGTGTGGGAGCTCGGAATTCTATGGACGATAATACATGATAACAGTGCCGATGGCGCTGTTGTGAGAGTGCATACATGAAGCGTTCTTCTGTTTCGGGAAGCAGAAGAGAGGGGGCAGCCTTAGCTTTATGAGCTGTCCCTCCTCGCCTCCTCGGTGAAACAGCAGATGAGGAGGAGAGGGAGGATTAAAGAAGGGAGGTGGTGTGGTGGTGGACGGCGAAGAGGCCACCACCATCAGATTCCTCGCTTTGCCTCTCACATGACCTCAATCATGCTCTGAAATAATAATTATATATATATATATATATACATACATATATGCACGTATCATCTCCTGCCACCACATAGATTACAGTTTAGAACATGCTAAGTATAATATTATGATCGACGAGGAAGATCTTCTCTGTTTTTTTCTTTCCTGAGAACTGAATGGTACGGCGAGATGGAAGAGAAACGAGCACAACACAGGCAGCAGAGATCCAAGCCTGCTACTGTTTTCCTGCCCCTCTCTTTTGTTCCTTTGGATTGCCATGCAAATCCACCTCAAGTGCACGCATCCCACCATAAGGATGCAGTTAATTCCTTTCATTCCGTACCATCCATTTTATGGTGAATGCACATTAGCATTCATCGCCCCTCTCTTACGCAAACTATTCACCCCATTCGAGATTCGGTAAAGGATAGATGTTAAGAAAATATTTCGCTCATACGTAAGAATATTCTCTCCGACTAAATCGACTGTCTTTACTAGAAATGAATGACGAAGGGATCACCTTTGACCTCGGTCTTCTTATGGGTTGACTATGGAATAAGCGTTTGAGAGCGAGCGCTCGAGTTTTCTTTTTGGTCACATAAGACTTGTTATATCAAATCATCATCGACATCTGCCACGTTACCAGTGAATCTTGTGAGCTTCTGAGGTCTTCCTCCGACCTTAGGCATCTGCCGTGTTGTTCAGATACCTACCAGAGACGTCGCCGAGGATCATGGACGACAACCTCTGCAACTCGTGCCCATCCTCACCCTCCTTGTTCATGCATCATGGATGGATCCCAGCTTGGAGCTTTCCATTCGAAAGATGGCACGAAAGGTACAACAAGTTTTAACTCGAAATTTAGACTGACGGACAACATTTTAAGAGATTACGACAACGAGCTTAATCCCTGAAAAAGTGGTGCCAGAAGAATCATCATTCGACATGAACTCAGCTTTCCGGTGGATTACATTAAGGCGTGGGTTGTGAATTCTGATCTGAAATCCGAACGAGAATATCTTTTGCTTTTTGGATGCAGAGAGGCTAACTCTCCAGCTTTACCTGTGCCCATCCTCAACACAGACCCACAATATTCTAATTACTACCCTGTGGTGCCCGGTCCTCCGATAAGAAGAAGATGATCGGTGATAGTGCTAATTCGTGACGATGTAAGGCGGATTCATCGACAGGCAAATGCCGATGGATGATGGTCGACAGCTCAGTCTCCCACTAATGATTTGCTATGTGACGTAGAAAAGAGCACACAAAATTTTGACTTAAAACATGCTTCCGGTGAAGAGTCCAAACTGGGTTACACTGCCGGTTGACTTCCTGCGTCGTAGCGATCGAGAAACCGATCCGCCTCTCTCTATTCGGCTTAAACTCCGAATCATGTTTGTCTCTGAGTACAGTCGAATGCAGAAAACACACGTATCAGCTACCGAAAGAATGCGAAATAAGTTTGGGCTGCACTTACAATCCAATCCTGGAAAGGCTCTGCTGTCATCATCGTTGATTTGATAGTGGAATCTTGGAACGCTGGCGTTGCTCGGAAGGAGCCTTCACGGCAGGGATATCTGGACAGGGCGTGACGGCCTGTGGGGTTGATGGGATGTGCGAGCTTTTCCTTTGTTTACTGAAGTGATGGATGGATGGTTGGCTTTATTTGCATCATCCTCCACCGGTCTACAGGGACAAATATTTGTATAGGGCCGGACACAGATGCATCCCATATTGGCTGTGGCAATAAAAATTCTCATGTCTGATGCGGTTCATGTGATTCATTTATATGACATCCTTGAAGCTCGATCAGATTATTGTAGCTCGAGAAACGGACACCCAACGAGTACATAATGCAAATGACCACCAAACAAGAGTCATAATCACTACTGAGTCAAAAACACAGGGAGTAGTAGACGAGCAACAGTATAGCATGCATACTACTTGTCATTCAACACTGCCGTTCGTTACCAATTCCTTCTGCATCCAAAAAGAAAAGTGAAAGTCTGCTGCAATTATTCTCTTCGGAGGCAAAAACCAAAAAAAGATCTCAGCCTTATCCACATTATCTATCATGTTTCGACATCCAATCATAGAGACAGTTCACCACAGATTGATTGGCATGATGGCATGTTTCATAAACATTCACGGTGGCATTATTAGCCAGAGGCAGGATCACAACTCTAGAATAATAAATAACTCAAACCGTGATCACTAATTTTATTAAAAGACTTCAAATTGACATTCTTATGTTGTAGTTTGGGGAGTCAGAGATCAGGCTTACATATATTCCTCCATAAAAACCGAGGATGATATATCACAGCCATGTCACACGGCACAAGCCTTCTTTCAAGCTTGTGACCCCAGTCCCCGAACATCTGTCGGGGTCGAGGCTATGGAATCTAGCTCCGCAACTCGAACAAAAGAACAAATCGTCTACAAATCAGCAAGCAGTAACATAGAGGTCCATCAAATTGGTCAAGAGTAAGCTACTGTGTCTATCAAACAATTCACACGCGCCGGAGGCTTTTACTGATCTGCCGGTGCCTGTGCTCGAGCCTGAGCCTGAGCCTGAGCCTTTGCCTGAACTTGATCTCGAGCCTCGTGTTGCTGTTCTAGGAATTTGTGCATGCACCCAAGCAACTGCACCGCCTTTCTCTTGCCTCGATCGGTGCCACTCTCTGTCATTTCGTACAATGGCCCTATCACACCTTGCACCTGTGCTGCAGCCAGATGCTGCTCCTCACTATTACAAAGGTGCACCAAGATGGTTGCTGCATTTTCCTTGTTCGAAGGAGAGCCACTTCGGATCAGCTCCACCAGCAGAGGCAGTGCCTCAGCAGCTCCGATTGCTACCTTGCCCTGGGGATGACTTGAAAGGATTGCCAAAATAGCAAGGGCCTCATCGACCATATCTCCTTGTGGATGCATCAAAAGCCCCATTAGAGTTGGCATCACCCCAGCCTTCAGAACCTTCCCTCTGTTACCCGGAAATATGCACAGGTTGAATAGTGCTGCTGCTGCATCCCTCTTGCCCCGTTGGCTGCCCTCATTGAGCAGCAAAACAAGAGGTTCAATTGCACCAGCCTCACCAATAATAACCTTGTTCGCATCCACAACAGAAAGGCTGAAGAGTGTGGCTGCAGCATTCTCACGTGCTTCCATGCTACCCCTCTTCAGCACGTGGAGTATCCCAACCACAGCCCTGGCAGCAATTATTTTGTCCTTGTTGTGCTCATTGATGGAGAGATTGTAAAGAGCAGTGACGGCATGCTCCTGGGTTTGTGAATCAACCGCAGACAGTAAGTCCACAAGGAGAGGAATAGCGCCAGCCTCTGCTATGCAAACTCTGTTGTCACCACTACACTTGGCTAGAAGGCGAATTTCAGCAGCGGCAGTACTTTGGTCATCAGAGCTCTCGGATGATAGCTTGAGAATGAGATCAACAACTCTGGCATGCTCTTTAGCAGAACAGAATGAATTGTCAGGACCATGATGGGCGGGGTACTTGAGTAGTTCCATGTCATTTTCCTCACACCATTGGATTATGAGGCCGCGAATCACATGGTTTGGAGTTAATGATGTGCTGGATAACTTCTGTTGTGTCTTTGGGCATGTGACATGTCCTGCCTTCAGCCACTTCTCGATAAACACACGTTCATAAGTCTGCAAATAGCAACATAAATAAGCCAACAATCTTTTAAGGCATGTGAAAGATGAGATGTAACAAAGGGAAAATTAAGAATGTTATATAAACCTGTCCAGTAGACACAATAACTGGATCTCTCATCAACTCCAACGAAATAGGACATCGGAAATCATCAGGAACGACTGGAGCTTTAGCCATTTCATCAGAAGTAAAAACCTTGGCACTTGCTGGAATGCAAATATCAGGGTTCTGAGTCTGCATATAATCCTCGATCTTCTTGAGAACCACAGACATCTTTTTAATAGCCTCTCCAAGATCTCTGTCATCATCGCCCAACAACTCATTCAAGGCAAGTGATTCTTGTTTGAGGTCAGCTATGGTCGTCAGCTGTAGCATCTCTGCCAATCTCCTTAGTAAGACAGGATCAACCTTGGCATGGATGCTCATACCATAAACAGATGAAAGATCGTTAAAAAGCTCAGCATCAGAAGTGTCCAACAGTTCTTTGGCTCTTTTGAACTGAGTACGCACAAGCTCAACCTGGAGAGCATGATAGACTAAGCAAACATCGTATAGGGAAAACTAATGAAAGCTCAATAAGTAAAACAAAAAACAAAAGAAAAGCATGAGGGGAAATATGATCCAGCCCATGAAACAAGTCCTTGTTTATCATAATACTGAGGGAAAGTATGTCCAGGTCGATTGTTCTACCTGTTCTCGAACTTCATCTGATATATCAAGCTCACCAAAAGAAATTTCACCCAAAGTTTGTTCTAGTTGAGCTGTAACTTCTTGGAACCTTCTCATCATCCTATCTCTATCCAAAACCTGCAAATACGGAGACAGAGATTGTATGATATTGTGGCACAGAAGAATTTGATATAATAAGTACATGGAAAATAACTGTGGATAGGAAGTAATGATTCAAAAAATTGCCTCTATCTCCACTTCCTAACACAAATGAGTATTTTAACCAAATTTTAGACTTTGACATTGATATAATGAGAAGGTAGGGCAGCTATATACGCTGAAATATTTAACCAAACATTGCCTAATAAATAATCTTGGCATTCTAATCAACTCAAGTGTGCCAGAGCTTTTTTTCTCTTGAACCGGTAAACTCCATGAAAGCACCTTCAACTTCTAGTGAACTCGATCCGTTCCTAAGTTGCACCATTGAATATCTAAAAAAATTGGAATAAATACCAAAAACAGAAACAAAAAGGTGGTACACCCTAATTGTAAAGTACAATAAGTTTCATCACTCAGTTCACTTTGAGAAAGTTTATTGATCTAAGACACTCGTCAGTATTGCTCTAAAACATAATTGATTCTCTTATATTCTCATATTTCCCATTTCTCCATTTGTTAAGTTCAGACCAAAAGAAAATGCAGCTAGAATTTCAATGTGCTTACACCTCCAAGAAGAAACAATCACCATCGAGAGACAACCCCCCCTTACCAAAAGTACACACCACCCACACAATTATACAGACAACCACATATATTCTCACCAAATATATAATTGATCTCATGAATAAACACATTATTTACAATTAGTTATTTTAACATCTTATGAATATTAAATTGCTGGATCAATAACTAAATGCATCAGATTGAATATGCCTTTGATACTCAGTCTGTTATCATACATTTATGTTTTCACCTTGAGGTATAATCTGCAGTTTCAAATGACTCATGAGTGTGAATTGATATTGCATATTTTGCAGCAAGTCAATAGTACATTACTTTCTTATAAACTGTTATTTAATCTTAAAACACAAAAGAGTCCATAATGCCCTGGTGCTATTAGTTGTACAGCACAGACTTTTTTTAGTCTTTCAAACAATGAATATTACCTAAAAAGATTTTACTAGAAATTTTGTTGTTGTTATAAAACCATGTATACGATCAATCCATAGACAAGCAAAACAATTACCAAAATAAATAATCAAGATTACAAAATAATATCATTCGGCTAACAGAAGACAATCTTCATATCTTGAATTACATGATAAGATGTCATGTAGTTTCACCAACAGCTTATCTGCATGCTCAATCTTAAATTTCATGTGAAATTTTGTTATAAATATTTATAAGAATATAGTAAAATTTTAAAACAACTGGTTATATAAACACAGAAAAAGAAAATTCAGGGACTAAAACAAACCAACCGAACATGACATGCAAACATATCCAGCTATAAGATTCCTTAAATGTGCAAGTCAAATGGCAGTCACACATACCACTAAGTGTAGCTGCAAAGATAACAGAAAGTCAACTCGATCAGAATAGCCTTTTCCCCATGCAAACATCAGGCCTATAACTCCAAAATTCTTAGAGCCCACTTCTTACTGAATCGACCATAACATTGCTGTCAAACTGTTGTATTTTGCTTTAAATGATACTGAACTAATTGATTACTGAAAGACTGACATATCCTGTTTTCACAGCAGGAACGATATCAAAGAATCTAAAAGGACAACAGTGAAGAACCTGAAGACAAGCATGCATAGGGACAGATAATTATGAGATCTGGCCATACAGATTAGATCATGATGTTTCACCTGATCGGACTAACCATGGACCGTTAATCCGTATATTCCATGAAAAAAACGGGAATTTTTGCATAGGATACTATGAAATAGATTTGATTTACATTTCGTAACCAAAGTCACCCTCGATTATGTCCAGTAATTATTTTAACAGAAAACGGATCTACGGCTGCAATGATTGAACATAACACTAACAGCCATTGGCAAGTAGAGACTCCCTTTAGACTAGTACCCCAAATACCACTATTTTATAAACACTGCTAAACGCGTGTACCCTAAAGATCAAGGAACGCCCTAACGCTCCGAAATTACATTCATCCATAAAGACCATATCAACTACATTGTAGATCTCCCCTGTTGCAGCGGAAAAGGAGACAGAAAAAAGAGAAAGAAACCATATTGTAACTATGGAGAATCAATTCAAAATATTTAGCGTTACCCCAGATTACCATTACCGAGTTTGCAGCATATACTAAAAACAATAGCTACTATCTAACTGAGATCGCTGCTCCGCATACCAGAGAGATCTTGCTCCCCCTGCTACCAAATCGGAGAAGCTCCTTGGCCAAGCCGATCGCCCGTCCGAGCGACGCCAGCGTTGTCACCGCCTTCTCGGAAATCGGCTTCTTGCTCTCCCTCAGCTCCTCGAACATGGGGGCCAGCAGCCTGACCCGGCGCGAGAGGTTGCAAAATTGCTTCTTGTACGCGTTCCGGTGGTAGGAGATGGCGGCGATCTCCTCCACCGCCCTCGACAGGCTCTCCACCACCGCGGCCGCACCCTTCACTTCCTCTTCCATCCCTACCAGAACAACTCAAATCAACCTACAAATCGGCCCTCGCTGCAGCAATCCGCAAACGGAGAGCTCAATCGACGGGTCCGTCGATTATAACGTACAAATATTTACTCCGCATTCGGAATCGATTGCCGCCGCTACTAGCATCAGGGTTTCCGTGTCGGAAGAGGAATCGGACGAGGGAGAGTGAGACCAGACGGCAGCTGTAGCCACCAGTCTTTTCTGGCAAGGCTTTTAATCGGACTTCAACTCGATTCCGAGACCTACCTTTTCTAATCTTGGCGCGGCTTGGAGCCGTCAGCCGTTTCGTGTCTCCCCGAGATAGCCGCTTCGTGTCTCCCCGAGAACTACCTTGGAGAGCACCGTCTCAGCTACCCTGATTCGCCTACACGGTGGTTCCCACTGGAGCCCATATCGCCTCCACCAACCAGAAGGCAGGTATGAGAAGAGTAGCTTGAGAATGAAGAAATAAATTAGTAATATCCTTTTCTACTTGTATCTGCATTTGGTATTGATTCAGAGAAGACTTGTTGATTGAATTTGAAATTAGTATTATATATATTAAAATATCGATTTCTCGACTGAATATAACAATTTAAGTACTTGATTGTTAATTAGATTTGATTATGATAATATGACAATTGTGGTTTACTTAATGGGATTTTTGTTATCGGGTGAAGGATCCTAGTCAACCTGATCTAAATCCAATAAGCAGATTTATGGAATCCAAACAAACAGGAGAAGGTGTTGACATTGCCGTCTTTTACGATCTTAATTATGAAAATTCAGATAAACAAAATGAACTATCATGGCCGGGTTAAGATCTTTGTGCCAGAAAAAAAGGTAAGAGTGGGAATCCAGTGAGGAGATGAACTGAGTACAGATCATTGCACAGCTGGACTGGAGAAAGCCCAGACCTGCATCCGTCCCATAAAACATGCTTCCACCAATCGTTGACTCACGATCACGGTCGGCTCAGGTTGGGCCGGCGTGGAGTTTTTGAGCCGCGGCCCCCGCCCGCGCATGGGGTGACGTGTTCGTGACGGCTTGGACTTGGGCGGCCCCCGCTCGCCGCGGTCCGATGAGGGCGCCCTTTTGATGGCAACTCACTCGTCTCCGTACAGCAGTCGATTCTGATATCATGTCACAGATCAGGATGAAAGGGTAAGATGCGACTGATCTACGGCCGTGAACGGCTGAGATTCATTTCATTTGGGTTTCGAAAATCCAGCTTAAATTTGAGTTTGTATGCTGTAATTCTGTATCTGTGTTATTTTATCGAACTGTAGGTATCCCACCCCCATCTTCTGCGAGAATTCTGCGAGAGACCGAAGAACGAAGACAGCCAGCTGAGAGGTCAAAGAGCGGAAGACTGCAAAGTCTTTTGTCGTTAATAAAAAATAAAAGGACGAGAGGTGAGTTTACGGAGGGAGGTGTCGAGGCAGATGGAGAGTTACGTGGGAGATGAAGAATGCATGCAGGTTTGGTCGGACCGAGGTCCTCTACTTCAAGGCCGTCTGATCGTGAGACGGGGACGGTGGATTGCCTTGTTTGGGCTCCATAAATGGGACACGTCGGCATCGATCGACTCCGAAGACGCCGTCTTGTTTGCCGATCTCTGTGTTTTCTGTCTTGTTGGCGAAGCAGAAGAGACAGAGAAAAAGGTCTTGCCGTGGAGGAAACTGCGGACGCGGGTCTGGCTGCAAGTGCGGCAGCGGCTGTGGAGAGGGTAATGAAACAACAGTAGTAATAGTCTCTCTCAATTTGTTTCTATACACTGGTGCTGTAAAATGAATCTCTCTTGTGTTTGACTGTTTTCTCAGCGCAATATTGTTAATAAATCAAGCATATTGTTTAGATATTCTGTTTGTTATTTGTATTGATCCCCTCTTGATGTTTCTGTGGATTATAAATGACAGATGCAAGATGTATCCTGAGTTGACCGAAAGAGAGACCACCATTCAAACCATGATCGGGCGGGTGGACGCCACGTCTCAGATGTATTACGTTGCTTGGTTTAATCTGTAGACGACCGGAGGAGTTTGAGATGGCTGCAGGGTGTCAGAATGGGGGCTGCAAGTGTGGATCAAACTGCACCTACGATCCCTGCAACTGCAAACGAGACACGGCAAGAGTTCGAAGAGGGAGACACAGAGCTTTCCTGCTGTCCTTTGTGTTGTCGCGGTGACTCTCTGGCCTTTGTGGCCTGTGTCTGGCTTTGTGCTAGAAATGAGAAGGCCATGGCTTACTGTCCTAAGCCTCTCGCACATTATCCATTCCCATGGCTGAGGGTTATCTGGATGAATTATATATATATATATAGTATTTAAACGTAGAAGTGCACATATGCTAGGTAGAACCCTTCACTAAAGTGGGCTTCGATAATTTAATTTTATCATCATAATTTTTTCAAACAAGGATTATTTTTTATTTTTTGAGTTTTTTTAGAATATATTTTTATTTTTATAATTTGATAAATATCTCTCATTGTCATCGACCAATGTCTTATTGTGTCACCTACAAAGGTTTCATTGTCATTATCACTACTTTTATAATGCCTCTTGTTCTTACTTATTTGCTTTCATCTCATGCTACTTGTTCTATCATGTGAGGCTTTCCCTTTTCTCTTTTTTCACATGATCTATCATGTATAATAAGCAATAACTAAGAGGTGATTACATGAAATGGTATCAACCATTAACTTGATTACCGTGGGGAATGGGGAAGGCCGTGTGTGGCCTCGCCAGCCACGCCAGCATACTCAGTTTTCGTCATCCCACCCACAGAAGTGTTATCCAATGGGCTCTTCTCTGCCACTTAATTTATTGGCCATCACGGGCTCCGGAGAACCCGAAAGCGCGAATCTCCACGCGCGGGCTCAGTGGGTCCCATCCGCGGTGGCGTCTTCCACGTTTCGCGGATCCATTACCACGAAAGCTCTATCCGCTGTTTTAGGAGGAACAACAAATTCTAGCTCATCTCTGCTTGCTGATTCCTGCGGGCCACGCCTTAATCCGACGGCCGAGATCGATCGTGGGTGGACAAGGGCATGTTCGTGATTCGTGGCGAGTCGCCAGATATAAAGGAGCTCTTGCCCTCTCTCGCCTTCCATTCGATCAGACCAAACAAGTGATCTTTTGGGCTTGAGCAGTAGCACCTCTCGTCGCAGATATGGCCAGAAAGTTTTTCGTCGGGGGGAACTGGAAATGCGTAATCCTCTCATTTGCTTCATGCTTTCGTGCTTTCTTTTTCTTCTGTTAGATCGGAATCGGTCCTTTGCCCTTTCTCTTCCTTCTGCACATCTCGGTAGTCTCGCTTCGCTGGTGAAATTTGCAAGCTTGGCTAGTATTTTTTTTTTTTTCTCGAAGTCTGTCCCATTCGCTCGTCTTCGATCGAAACGCCAGCTTAAAGTTATCCGATCCCGTCGATCTGCATGATTTATGGCTGTTTTCTCACATTTTGTCGCGATTCATCTTAGTGCTATTTGTCGCCACCAAATTTAACTAAATTGATCCCGCTGATCTGCGAACCTTTTCTTCTTTTCGTTGTAGACTCTGAACCGTTTACTCCTTTTTGATTTGTTGGTCTACCGGATTACCCCCTTGCGAATTCTGATGCGTAACGTCCCTTTTCCTGTTTGATCCGCGCGTGCAGAATGGTACCAGCGAGGAGGTTAAGAAAATCGTCAGTACCCTGAACGATGCCCAAGTTGCGTCGGCGGATGTCGTTGGTATGGTTTTGAACTCTACGATTTTGATCATGTTTAGGGACTTTATTTGGGAGTTAGGTTCTCATGGATGAGTTGACTAGTTTGACTTTATTGACAAAGAGAATCTTACAAGCTTGTTCTTTTGATCTATTCAAAAGGGTTTCTTTTCTTTCAACATTTGATCTGACTGATTCATGAGCTCGGGTGTTCCATGTAAAAGTTATTACGTGTTTTTTGGATGGTGGCACTTCTGAGGTTACTACTGCGTTCCGAGTTCCTTTTAATTGTCATCTTATTCACAAACCTCGTTTTTGACAAGACTAAATTCTTGAAGCTGAAATAGCTTTGTAAAGTTTGTATATTTTCGTAAAATATGGTCTTAAAGTTTTTTATGATTTAATAACCATCAATTGTTTTTGTATAACGTCTTGAAAATTTGGAACTGTATCTAAACATTAAAACCTTAAATTATGTGTATTCGTTAAGTTGCTTTTCCAGTTACTCTTATGTTCATGTGTTTTGGCAAAAGCCCTCTTGTTAATATAGCAGAGAACGTCATGTTGTCTTGTACGTAACTGTTAAATAAGCTAGTTGTTGATATACAACCACAATAGTCCCATAATACTTGTATTAATATACAAGTATTATAAATATACTTGTATTAATATCTGCGCAGATATCTTGGACATAACTGTTAAATAAGCTAGTTATTGATGTACAACCATTATAAACCCATAATACTTGTATATTACTATCTCTGCAGATGTTGTGGTTAGCCCACCATTTGTTTTTCTGCCTCTTGTGAAAAGTTTGTTACGCCCTGATTTTCACGTCGCAGCACAAAATTGTTGGGTAAAGAAAGGAGGTGCTTACACTGGTGAGATTAGGTATGAATACTATTCTGTGATGAATTCATATTTGTCCATGCTCCCTGAAGAAGAAGAATTGGTGTTTCTTATTTGTAATTTATCATTGACCATATCGGAATACCTGCTAGACCTGATGAAAATTAACACAATATATTTTCAACTTTAACACCATTTATTTGAATTACAATGCATTTCTCATAAAAAAACTTTTCCTTTTAATAAGCCATAAAAAAATCACCACCCGCTGGTAAGCAATATGTTGCAGTTTATAACTTCATTTATACTGTGACATAGAATAATTCATACTCCAATAAACAAGGTTTCTACTCCTTGGAGGACATGCTACAAGCTCAGGGAATAAAAGGCTAATCTTTGTACAAATCTATGACCATGTGTAAGGTAGTGCTTTTACTGTGTAAAGGAAATTCTGCATATCTACCAAAGAGGACCTTCATTCTTTTAGGGTCCATTCAGCTTATGTGCTGATGTCTCCTCTCCTTCCTATTTCTGTTTATTCATTTTGTAGTACTTCTTTAGGTTATTATCTTTCCTTATTGACATTGATGGAAATGTTAATTGTTTGAATGGTCATTTCATTTCCTATCTGAAACTACAGGTCATAACAATTGTTGTAAAATAAAA